TATCACATATATAAACAAAGCAACTCAATTCGTTTCTTTCTAAAACATATTCATGAATTTTTTTATTTAAAATAATTTTTTTTAATTAGGTTTCCTATTATTATAAAGCAAAACTGTTCCTACATGTCAATAAGCTCATTTGTCTATAAAAAGTTGGGAGGCAGAGAGATTTGCTTAAATTTTTTATAGACCCTTAATTATAGCATCTTTAAAAACTGTGTTCTAAGGGGAAAAAAATAATCTCAAAGGCCCAGCTTTAGTTGTTCATTAATGACAAGTTTGTCCATCTTGTTTAAAATGTAGCTGCAATCACTATCGTCTTCAGATTTCCCTATACTGAGAACACTGAGCCCCTATACATGTATTTGTCAAGAATATAATAATTTCATGAAGTGACTCATTTAACTTAAAGGCAGGAACAGCAGGAGAATTTCTGAAACCAGTTTCAGAACTTTGGGGAAGGATAAACTATTCAGCAGAGTGGCTTGCAGGAGGTATTTCTACTTGGGAAATAATTGCCCCATGTCATTCTGACTCCCGTCATCCATCTGCGTTATCTTTCCCTACAGGACGCTGTGATGGAGCACATCGAAGATCTACCTATCTGTATGAAGCTACTCTTCATTCACTCAACCAGCATGCACACACTTAGCACATACCATGTGCTCTAACAGCGCACCATTCTACGCTCTGGAAATAGAGCAGCAAACAAGACCCAAACAAGTATGAAGATCAACATATACTATTTCAGGAGAAATATGTATCAGTGAAGGGAGGCAGAAGGCCTTGGGAAGGGGCTTAATATTGGAGTTTAAAGTGGTCAAGGAAGGTCTCCTTGAGAAACTCATTTGAAGGACATGAGGGAGCAGACCCAAGCAAATATCTAGTGGAAGTCTTCCAGAGAGAGGACAAGAAATATAAAGACCCTGAGGCAGAAATCTTCAAGAAAGAGGCCAGCTAGCAAAGGGGAGAAGGAGACAAAGTCGGGGAGGCTGGGGGTAGGGACTGGCAAGTCAAGTGGAGAATCGTACAGGACTGTGACTTCTACTCAGCTGTAGTCAGTCAAGATTTCGGCTTGCACTGAGAGGCAGAAAGCTGTTGGAGAGTTTTGCGGAGAGGAGCCGAACAGGTAGGTGGATACGGGTCTGGAACGCAAGCTGAAGATTTAAGTTTGTGGGATGGCAGCACGCAGACATCATTAAAGCCAAAAGACTAGGTAAGATCACCTAGGGAGTAACTGTAGAGAGAAGAGAGGTGAGCCCTAGGGCGTCCAAGCATGAGAAACTAAGAACAAAGCAACCAAGGAGGGGCCAGCAAAGCAGGATGCAGAAAACCCGGAGGCAGAGCGTGTCCAGAGGGCTGCTGAGCCTTAGAACTCTCACTGCCTCTCCCCCTCAGTCTAAGGGGGATTTGATAAGCAGACACAGCACGTTTTAAAAAAGAAAACCTATCTCTAAAAACAACTAGGTTTAAACAGAAGAAGTCTTAACATTTCCTTATATTTTCTTAGGACTGAGTTCCACCTCCTACTCTGAACTACTTGCACCTTAAAGTACCATGTCCTATTCATTTCACAGTTGTCTGAGGGCCACTTCCACTCCCACCCCTCCCCAATCCCACTCCCCCACCCCCGACCCCCCAGCCCCCCACCGCCCCCGCCACTGCACTCCCACGTTTGAGTATTGACTATTGACAGATATTGACAGAGATGGCTTTTGGCCAGTAGCCCAAACTCTGCCTCAGGTTCTGTTACCTATTGTATACACAGTCTTAACATTAATTGTTAAATAAGCACACTAATCCTAAATCACAAGGTTCTCATGAAGATGACAGAAAAAAGAAAAAAAAAAAAAAAAAAACCAAACAACAAAAACACACATACACAGAAAAAACAGTGAATACTGTATTTGGATGAACATCCATTAGAAATGGCAGTGGGATGACCGTGAGCAGAATTTCATACTCTGGAACACGTAACATCTTTTTCACAATTAAATACTGTTTAAGAAGCAGCATTCAACTGAGCAGAGCTCAGCAAGCTTATCTCCAGCTCTACTGAGTCAAACGTCAGTGACCCTTGGACTCTAAGCCTGGGGCCCTGAGACTCAACAGGATACTACTGACAAAGCTAAAGTGCGAAGGGGCAGCAGAAAAACGGAAAAACAAAAGAATGAGAAAAAGTAAATATAAGGAGAAAAGAGAAGCAAAGCAGCTGTAGAAAGTCTAAGGGGAAGTGTGGGCCGCATGACTCCTCAGGTCCTCTGCATCTCACACGCTCCGCAGAGTTCGGGGTGGAGGTCAGGCTGTTGTTTACCCGATCCTGGGGCTCACACTGGGCGGCGGCCAAAATCCTCCTTCGGCTGTAACCAGACCCCCCCCCCCGTCACGAAAGCCCCCGCTGAGTCCTCGGCTCCGGGCTCGGCCCCCGCCCGGGCTCGCAAAAAAAAAAAAAAGCTCCCCTTACCAGAGTCTCACCCCCGGGAAGGAAAGGGCGGCGGTGAAGAGAGGTGGTGGCCAAGTCCCTCTTCAAAACTGGTCCCAAGCGGCCTCCAGCGAGACCCTGCAGCTGCGTCCGCACCCCCAGAGCCGCCGACACTCACGACCGGCAGGAGCCGTTGCGATTCAAACCCTCCTGGCTTTCAAAATGTCGCGCGCTGCGCCAGCGTCGCCCTCGAACTACGGGGCGGCATAAAGGACAATCCCCGCCGATTCGCCGTTCCTCCTGCCTCGCCCAGGCCTCCAGGCACCCGCGCGCGTGCGCACGGCAGGAGAAGGACGGCGAGGCGCGTGGAGCACGCAAACCTTCAGAGGATCCACCCGCCCTTCCGAGGAGCACAGATCGGTGAATAGAAAACACGTGCCTGTGCTGAAGGCTGAAGCGCTCGCCAAACGCTCACATCTGTGCTGAGCGCGTCGATTTTATTACAGGTTTAAGAGGCCTTGAAACACTCTAAGGACAAATGTGTACCTTAAGGAACAATCATCTTTAGCGGAGAAAAAAAAAAGATATTTAGAAATGTTGCTAATTCATGTAATTGCTACGTTCAGTTCAACATACTTTTATTTATTTAACGATTATTTAGGAACATCTGCTCCCCAGGAGGGGATAGGCCTAGGGGCAGACCGGGGGCCCAGAGCTCGGGGCAGGGAGTACCCCTTGAGGGGGCCGTTCCTTTCCGTTTAGACGTACACCAGGGGTTGGAAAAACCACTCCAAGCAAAGAACTTGAATGAAGATCAGGACTGGAATCCATTAATGTGGGTGACTAAGCCCCACGAGTCTGACCACCCACCTGGCAGTGTCTCCAGGACACACGGAAGATGTGCCCTGAGACATCCCCCGGGGATGGCGCAGGTCCTGAGGGTCGTGGGGATCAAAGAATATGAGCCAAGAGGCATAAATCACATGTTGGGGTTTGCCTTCCCCTATGTGACCACAGTTCTAGATGATGCAAAAGCTTACTCAAGCCATGCTGAGAAAGCCACTGATGTGCAATTGCAAGCCAGTGTG